TAGAAAAAGGCTATTTAAATATATAAAAGCACTATATAGATATTAACTGTAATCCAGACTTAAACCCACTTTGACATAATGAGCAATCTCCAGGCAACAGAAGCATGAGATCAGACTGGGTAGATAAATTGACTGTGAGCGGACTGGACAGAGACTAAATACGCAGGGAAGGCATCTGGGCACAAGTGAAACATCAGACAAGTAGAAACACAAAGACAGGAAGAAAAACAACAAAGAGACACAGAAGGTAAGTAACTTCGAAGTAAAATTGCAAATAATAACTAATAAAAATAGTCATTTGAGAGGTGGCAGATCATGAGGGAGGACAACAAGCAAGTTTCAGGCACAATGAAGGTTCCATGAAGACCTGGAAAGGGCACAACTACACAACCACACAAATCAAGCAAATCATTCACACATCTAGAAATGAGAAGTAGCAAAGAGATGCTCTAAAAAGAGATGCAGTTATCTTCAGAAGATGCAAAAGCCTCTTACCAGCATAGGACAACTGTACGAGACTGAGGCCGACCTGGAAAAAGGTAGCAGCTAGGTACAAGGACTGAAGTAGTCATAAGCAACTGACTGCAGATTAAGGCATAAAGATGGGTGGGGTTGTTCAAGATGTAGGGGGCATGATAGAGAAGACTGCTGCACACAAAATGTTTCAACAATGCAGTCTGGATGGCACAAGGATATATAGGAGGTTCTCTAAGTGGTGACTGTGTCGAGCCATTCAGCCAGCCATTCGAGCCATGACCAGCATTTCAGTTTTATTTGAAGTGGCACAAAACTTTTTACAGCGGACAAGCAGGCTGATAACTGGATGATTATCAATGTGAATTATGATTAACAGTCTACAGATTTTCCAAGCCCAGCCAGCTGGGTATCATCAGCATAACAGTGGAAATATATTTAAATTCATTTAATGATTGAATTGAATCATTTGGCCAAGAGGGAAAAAACAGAAGGCCAAGAATAGATCGCTGAGATTCTCCATATTTGACATCAGAATATGTTGAAAAAGTACTATGCCACTATAGGAGACATATCGTACAAGTGTGGTCTCTGACTTTTAACCGCAGCAGGTTTTAATCTATTGAGGATGCCAGTTTCTCTTTTATTAGCTTCACTACACTGGCTTCTTGTTAAATTTCAGAATTCTCCTCCTCACTTACAAGGCCCTTAATAATATGGCATCATCATACCTCTAGAGCTCACTAGTACCAAATCACCCCACTAGAGTACTGTGCTCCCAGAATTCTTACTTGTTGTCCCTAAAGCCTTAAGTACAGTAGGAGCCAGAGCTTTCAGCTATCAGGCTCTTCTTCTGTAGAATCATGTCCCAGTTTCAGATCAGGAGGCAGACACCCTGTCTATGTTTAGAGTATAGGCTTACAACCTTCTTTTTTGATCAAGCTTATAGTTAGAGCTGGTTTGAGATTGTGATGGCAAATCGTAGATCATGATCGTGGTGGCAGCTGAACGAGGACTATGCTTACAACAAGACAGATACGCCTGCTCCTGGGGGAGGGACCCCTCACATGTGGCTCTCTCTGAGGTTGAGTTTGTTGAGGGTTAAGGACAGAGGATGTTGCACCTTGTTAAGCCCTATGAGACAAATTGGGATTTGTGAATATGGGCTATACAATGAAATTTTGATCGATTGATTGATATGATTTCAGATGTAAGAGATACATTAATAATATAAAGTATTGCTGGTCTATCAACTTGCAAGATTAGCAAGTTTAGACAATTATTCCAGAGATTTAGCCCCAAAATTGGTTGAAACAGAAACTATCTAGGATTCATCACGTTTTTCACAACTGGAAAAATTAATAAAATAAAATAAAAAAGCAGCGCATAGAGCATATTTGTAAATCAATCCACCCTCATGCTACTGGAGGTAGAACATTTCCAATTGGGATTTTTGTCATCTGTGTTGCAACCTTCTGCAAGCCTGTTGTTGAGTAGCTGCAGTTTCTGTAGACCTCTGTGACCCTCCTTTTGTTAGTAAGATATTTCTGTTGTTACAGCCACTTATGTTTTGTGTATTCTATTGTATTTTATTCAAGTTGCATGTTAATGACAATTGCATTCCGAAAAAAAAACAGAGCCACAGATTTATTTTGGAAGCTGTAAACTACTGTCCATTGGCCAAATATTTATTATGGTCCTTAAACATATTATTATAATTATTATTTTTACAGCACATTTATTTCATTTAATTCATTTCAAACCATGAAGCTTTTTTTCCTTCTAATTGCAGTGCTGTTCCCTGCATAGTATGCCTGTTTGATCCTATGGCCTGCATTCCCTTAATAAATACTGTCTCTAATTTACTAGTGTCCTGTTGAAACATTACTACCATACACTAATCTACTACTACATTCAAGGTGTATGCTACATTGATATTTGAAATTCCCTGTTTATTTCTGTTTTTCACAGAGAACATATTCATAATCTGTTCTGCTTTTCACATGGTTCTACATTTTATATCCTGTATGTTCTACAGCCACTAATGTAGCCTCATTTCCATTCCTGCCTAGTGAGTACTGTATTTGCTTTTCTTACGTTTTTTATTTGCTCCATTGATTTTGTTGAAATGTCTGTTTTTCTATATTGTGTTATATTTTACATTCAGTACATAACAGGGTTTTTTTTCCTTCTTGTAACTGCAACTCAAAACTCAGCCCCTGAACACAAGTCTGTCAAAGTGACTGACTATAAAATGATTTGAATTGAAATAGAGATTTTCTACACACATTCATACGGTGCAACTATGTGCAGCACTCTTTTTTCCCTAAGAGCTGAAATTGTTTTCAGCCTCTTACCCAAGGACACTTCGGCATGCAGATGGGGAAGACTGGGATCGAATTGCCGACCTTTCTGGTTGGAGGACGACCGCTCTACCATTCAGCCACAACCCCCGGCTCAGTAGCATCATTGTGATGTGTTTGTCTCCAGCTGTTGACAATAACTGAAGAGAAATACCACAGGCCTGCATCAACACACTGATCGTCTGTATAGCTGCTTTGCATTTGACAGGAGTTTGTGTGTCCAGTTTGTTAGGTGAGCTGCTGCCGAGGCTGTGCGGTGTGTTTCACTATGTTTCAGTGTGTGTCACTGTGTTGTGTAGGCTGCGTGCTGCTCTTACGGTGTGTGTGAATGTGTGTTTGCGCATCTTCACCCCTTCGTTCCAATTGGCTGCTGAAAGTTGTTGGAGCTTTTCCCTCTCGAATAAGAGAAGGCTCCGTGAACCTATCGGTGCTCGCGGTTCGTCCCCCCCCCCCCTCCTCCAGCCTGCCTGGCCCAGACTTGTCCTGGAGACTGTCAACAGAGTCCAGCCTTCACAGCGGTTAAATAAGCTGGTGTCAGAGACGGAGCAGCTGTATAGTGTGAACACATTAACAGTGTAAGGACTGTCTCCCTCTGCTCCGGGGGCTTTCACACTCACATTAAACCTCCCTCTCCTCCTGCACCTCTATCTGGATCTGTCTGACATTTTCTACCTCCTTAAATACTGACCAACAAGGCTGCACTTGAACTGGACATCTAGAAACTTTTTTTTATTTTGTTTTCTTTTTGTATATTTTCTTTTTGTTAATGGTGCAATGTCGTCTTTGCCAGGAACGGTACCGCGGATGATGCGCCCGGCTCCCGGACAGAACTATCCCCGCACTGGATTCCCTCTGGAAGGTAGGCTGGAGCCGAGCAGCCGCCTGGAGCCGCTGGCCCCACACACAGGCTCAGCGAGAAGAGGCTGAACATCAGGTCAATTAGGATAGGAACAATTACCTGAGAAAGACCCCATCAGATTAAATACACTAGCATGCTCGGCCTTTGATGTGAGGAAACTCCATCACTTCTTAATATTGAAAATTATTTTATTACTATATTAAAAATGGGATCATCTGCAGTAAAATCATCTTAATATTGGCTATATGCTATTTAACATATAGGTGCACTGCAGTGATTAATTGTCCACTGGCTATTTGACCAAGACATTTACAGTTTGAACCCCAGAAGAGTGTCTATAAAGACAACATGTGGGATTTCTTTAGGTGTGTGCAAATTCAAATCAAACACAAGTGGAGAAGCTGATGAGCTAATCATCGGTATAAATGGCTCTTCACCTCCTCAGGGTCAATGACGCTCTGTTAACCACACATGTACACTTTGATATACGAGTGATACTGATATATTAATAACAGCAGGCCCACTTTCACATGTTAGGCCTTCAGCCAGTTCAGCTCCAGAGAGTCCAACTGTTTGTCTGTCCCCCCAACAGTGTCCACTCCTCTGGGCCAGGGACGTGTCAACCAGCTCGGAGGGGTCTTCATCAACGGCCGCCCGCTGCCGAACCACATCCGACACAAGATCGTGGAGATGGCCCATCACGGGATCCGGCCCTGCGTCATCTCCCGCCAGCTGCGCGTCTCCCACGGCTGCGTCTCCAAGATCCTGTGTCGCTACCAGGAGACGGGCTCCATCCGGCCCGGAGCTATCGGGGGCAGCAAGCCCAGGGTGAGGAAGGGCAATAATAACATTAATAATAATAATAATAAAATGTTCATATTTAATTGTCTTACTTTGTATCGCTCTCCTTCTCTCTCTCCAATCATTATACTGATATTCGTTCGATCCTGTCTCTGTCCCATCTACAGCAGGTAGCCACGCCGGACGTGGAGAAGCGGATAGAGGAGTACAAGCGCGACAACCCCGGCATGTTCAGCTGGGAGATCCGGGATAAGCTGCTGAAGGACGGAGTGTGTGACAGAAGCACGGTCCCTTCAGGTGAGGCCTCCCCTGGTAAGCCCCATTTAATTATACTTTTTACTCTTCTGTTTTCCCATATGGATACAAAATAGAATAAGGCCATGTTTGTCGCCTGTAGAGAAACGAAGGTCATTATTATTATTATTGTTATTAGTAGTAGTATTGTTATTATGATTATGATTATTGTTATTATTATTATTAGTGTGACTGAAGATGCTTTTATGTTGGCAGTGAGTTCAATCAGCCGTGTGCTTCGAGCTCGCTTTGGGAAGAAGGACGAGGAGGATGAGTGTGATAAAAAGGATGAAGACGGGGAGAAGAAAACCAAACACAGTATCGACGGTATTCTCGGAGACAAAGGTACGTGCTGCTTTCATACAAATTGGCCTGTAAATGGTCGTTTAGTCGCTGCGGTTCTCCTGCTGTAAGCGGCTCTCCCAGCAGACACAGCGGCACCTTAATTATTTATGACGGGGAGCGGGAGTGGATGCGGCTCCCGTGGTGCTGGTTAAACGCTCTGTTGAAAGCGGTGCTGACACATGACCGATGTGCCCGTCAATATCAATTACAGGCGGCCTGTCAGCAGCACTGCGGCCTGTGTGGGAGCTGTGCGCCGGCCACGAGAAATATACACACCGCGGAGAACCTGAGAAAATAAACATGTATTTGATTTATAAAGGACAACGCTAACAGGATTAAAAACAATCCACACATGGAAGGGCCTTTATACATAAATCAAGATATGTGTATCAAAATTATAGCTCTTTCAATGGTACATTAAAAATAAGCAAATGATTTACATCAAGTTAAATTAATTATATACATATTTACGAAGCATTAATAATGAAAAAAAAGATACATTTATAATTTCCTGAGGATTTTTAAAAAATATTATAGAGATACACATGTAGTATTTAGTAGCCTGTATGTATTATGAGAACAAAATTCGTTTTTACACTCGTTTCTCACAGTGAATTCAGATTTATATATATATATATAAATAAATCTGAATCAATCAATAACATTTTCTCTGTAAAGTCCACATTCACACATCATAATTGGTTTCATTTACAAGTTGTTATAACAACTCTTCCCAAAAAACGTATCTTGCTGCATGGGTGAAACTGCAAATGCGTTTTTTTTGTAGCAGCAGCTGTCGGCCTGTCTCCTGACCACTGGCTCAACTGGAGACATGTTCTCTTTTCAAATGACACATTTTCACAACTCTCCTCCTTCCCTTCTTCTTCTGAAGATCAGCCCAGCTAGTGTCTTTCTGTCATCTTGGCCTGGCATTTAATAATTTTAAGACTTAGCCTATTACAGCTGGTAATGAAACTGGTGTCTGTTGAATAGGCATCTGTGTTGGAGAGGGGTGTAATAGCTCAAAGGCATGGTAAGAAATATATTTATCCCCTATCAGCCCTCACTCTCACAGTTCCAGGCACATGCGTTCAGTTGAAGAGCCTTAAAGCAGATTAAATTGAGCCTTTTATTTCTTTTCACTTTCATCTTTCAGTGGCTGACTTCGTGGTGTAAAGCCCGCAGCGCAAATTCATGAGATTTTAAGGTTTCCTCCCATGTTGTTTAGATTGTATTTTTGAATATTCATTTCATTTGTTTTTGTGGGATTGCTTTTGGTGGCATGTTGGCAGAATGTGAGGGAGAGGGTGTGTATTTTAGCTGTAGTGTCAGGCTGAATATGTGACAAACACATTTAGTCTCATTTTCATCAGATGAGCTATTCCTTTTTACATCAGCACTAATGTACAGCAGGGGCAGGCTACATGTAGAAATTAGACCAAGTTATATCTGTTAAAAGCAATCACAAAATGCTTATACAAATAGAATCAATACAGGGAAATACATTATCTGAGATTTATCATAAAATCTTTACAATCAGCCAATTTATCATTTATCTTCATGTACTTACTCACATTTGTGTAAAAGAAATGACTCCACATATACTACATATACTATACACGTTGTAAAGTACAGGCCTGCACTGCACATCCTTGTATTTCTCATCTTAAATTAACTGTTTTCATTTTTGATAGATGTCAGTGTTTGCAAAATATAAATATGAAAACAAAGCTATATAAATATATATGTTATTTTCCCAGAAAACCCTGTACCCAACCAACGTTTTATTATATTAGGCCTCTGCATATGGAAGATGCAATTCATTGCATAGGGGCTCATATATGGAACTGTCTGCTTTTGTCAAACCACACACTGTATCTGTTATGATGTCTCCATTGACAGTGACTGCTATACAATCTATTCAATTGCACTTTAAGGTAGCACTGAATCAATATGCTGTTCCCCAAAGAAATGGATAATGCACTGTAGTACTGTGAATTTTGGAGTCCAGAGTAAGCCTCCTTGAAAGAAAAAAGGTGGACAGAGAGGATGGAGGGAGGACTTCAAACAAATCCAGTGGAAGTGACAAGAGGCAGATTTATAGAGAGCGCAGGCTGTGGGAAGTTCTATTGCAGCTATTAATAACACTTTTCCCCAGGCATCCACACATACTCCATTCCATCTGCACTTTCTCGCAGCTATTTTGCCGGGTTGAAATTGAGGGAGACCCAAATGTTGGCTGGAGATAACACAATCATCACAACCTTGGTCCTGGGCTGTGCATCTGTGTATTAAACTGGGATTAACCTCCCCTTTCCTCCCCGCTGCCTCGCATCAAAAATTCACATTTAAGGGACATATTAAAAAAAGAGATAAGGGAACTGGAAGCCAATGTGCAATACAGATGAGTCGTATCAACATTAATAATTATGTCATCATTATCATGATAATCACGCTGACATGCTCATCTACTATGTTAGTGTAAAGTGTTTGGACTGTGGGTCGGACTAAATGAGCAGTTTAGAGACATCAAACACACGGATGTCTCATTTTGACCTCACTAAACAAACAATTAATATGAATATGAATATAACGTTTATTTAACATAATTTCGATTTTTCAGCAGCAATCTTGGGCTCATATGTTTCGGACAGGAAGACATTTAAATGTAAAGATGATTTCTCTTAACAGCCTGAATCAGGCAATGATTCAAGTCATTTAGTGACCG